TAATGTTTTTGTACAACATTACTTTTTAAAAAATTACGACATATGGAGAAAAGAATATGATTAGCTTGTAAAATATATTGTTTTTATTGAATAAATTTTTTTCAATGTGTAACTTTAAGTTGTTTTTGCTCAAAGAGTACCAAATGGCAAATACAGAAGTACCAAAAAAGCCTTGGATAAGTATTGTTTAATATATTTTCATTGAGCAAAGAAAATCATTCCAGGTGACTATATATTAATAAATTTTTAGATTTGCAGTGGCTCCCAAAAGTATTCTTCACTTTTATTGAAATAGGGCATTATTCACTAATTAAAATGAATTTAGAATGGGTATTTAATAATAAGATGTATAATCTATTCTTAGCAAAACTACAAGGAATATTTTAAAAACAAAGCAAATGTTTATTTTTAAGAAATTAACAATCAAAAACTAGCAAAAATTTTACTTCACAAGAGTCATCGTACATTTAAATGCTTTCGGATATCAGAATTAAAATTATCGTCTGTTGGTTTAATTTTTTTAATATAATTATTTTTCATTTACCTTTTTATTTATTTATTTGCTATTTAGTATTAAACATACGATAGCAAAATTATATTTTAATTTTTATTTGCTAACTCCATAATATTTTCTATTATCATTCAAAAACAGCTCGTAGTCATAATGAAATTATAGACAACTTTTGATAGTTGATTACCGTAATTTCGCGGAGAAACGCCGCCCTGGTATACACGCTGCTCCCTCAAAAATCGGCTGACAGAAAAAAGCTTTTCACCGGACACGCCGGGCCGAATTTTTAACAATTAAAGAATTTTGAACTTAACGCGGTTATTGATTAAAGTCTGCTCTAAATATGCATATAATTTAAATAGTTAAATAAAAATAAATAAAAGGATATTAAATATTTAAAAAAAATAGAAACAATCCTAGTATATAAAATAGATTTTAATAATTTTCTAAGTAAAATTAAGCATTTTCTAATTTTAAAGTGAAGTAACCATTAAAATATAAATAAAATAATTAATATATCATAAACCATTAAAATAAGTATGAAATTTTTTTAAAAATAAAACGATTTTACTTTTAAATTAACAATCCAAAATCCTGTTTTAGAAATAAACGATAAATCGAAACAAATTTTGTTCAAAGAAAAATTTAAGAATAATTTATTTAGATATCACGTATCACTATATATTCATATCACCGCACTTAAAAATTCCTCAAAATCAGAACTCTCTGTATCAGAGCAAATTAGGTTTACTATTTAATTGTTTATTTCGGGTTAATCTCCGTCACTTTCGGTTTCGCTTGTCACAGGATGATTTCAGCTTTTTTGAAGCCATTTATCACAGTTTCTTTTACTCTTTTAATTGCTGACAGCTTAAACGCAACGGTATAATTTTTCCTCTTAATGGGAGGCATTTAAAATGGATAACTTAAATACAAGTTATGTTAAAACAAAACAAAAATAGTATAAACGAAAAAAAAATATTAACGAAAGAAAAATATTAATAAAACAAAAACGCATCAGAACTGAAGATAAAATGATAAAAAAACATAATAATAATAAGCTGAGCGAAATCAGACAGAAATATGAGCAATGAAAAAAAAAACAATAAAAAGCTCTCTCCCAAGCATTTAAAACAAGTTTCTATTTTTAGCAATTCCTCCCCCTATTTTCGCTTCTCAAATCAGGTTTCTTTTTTCAACTGACTCCGCCTAGGACAGTCTTTCTTTTATCCCTGTCCTAAAATTCTGTCAAATTGTCACTTTGCTTTTTTCCCTCTGCACTGACCTTCAGTGGAAAGTTTGAAATTCTTTTTGAACATTCTAATTGTAAGATTATTGAAGGTCATTCCAAGCTCATCAGTATGCTTTATTTACCAAACATTAACATGTTTTTAACAATCTGCAAAAGAAAAAAGGGGAGTGGAGAGAGGCATCCATGACAAGTGGAAGAGTCATATTTCCTGGAAAGAACGGGGGGGGGGAGTGTTTGTTTTACAGTTACATTATCACTGGCCCCACCCTGATTTTCTTCATTCATTCCTTTCTGATTTATGCTTCTCCACACCACGCCCATTTCCTACACTCAACAGCTGTCCATATGGCAGAAGGGAAAGAGAGACTTCGTTCTCTTGTGGATTGTGGTCTCCAGAAAATGATTCCAAGAAAGGATTAGGGAGGGGAAAATTCCAGGTGCGCTGACCATTCCTTGGAGTGACATTAAGCATGAAAAAATAAATAAAAAGTACTATAACAGGTGGAAAAAATGAAAATGAAATTTCCAGTGCGGTTTCTGAAAAGCAAAATTTTTTGAAGAAAAAAAAAAGTAATACTATATAGGCCGCCTCGTTAGATACGCCTTCCTACTAAATTTTCAAGTTTTAAATCAATAACGCTGCGGCCTATCTCTACGAAATTACGGTATTTGTCAGCATAAGAGGTAAATCCGTAATGAATATTTCTAAATTAGTTTATTGTGTCCTATTCCACTGTGCAATATGTGATAAAATGCTTAAAAGGACTTCATATCAGAGGTTAAAATTATAAAATTTGTAGAAAAATTCATAAATTCACATCTGAGTGTTGTAAAAGTTTCTGCAAAATTTAATAAAAAAATAATCTGCTTGAATTTCACCTGACAAAAAAAAATTTTTTGCATTTATTTACAGATTTAAAAAACCCATTGTAGATGCAAAAGGAAACTCTACTGAAAGTTAATTTAACGAAAAATTAGAATATTTACTAATAGGTGGAGATTTTGTTTGAAAGTGTATGATGACTTTTGTGAGATAAGGTTTCTGTTACTTTTTGATTTCTTAAAAATAAACTTTTGCTTTGTTTTTAAAATATTTCACACAACTTTGCTAAGAATAGAATATGTTTTTATTATTAAATATCCATTCTGAAATATTCATTTTAATTAATAGATAGTCTTATTTCCCTGAAAGTTATAAGTGTTTGAACACTTTTGGGAGTCACTGTATTTAAATTTCAATATAAAGCAATTTTATATTGTATTTTATCTAATCAGTACTCTTTATATAAGTGTTTGAACACTTTTGGGAGTCACTGTATTTAAATTTCAATATAAAGCAATTTTATATTGTATTTTATCTAAGCAGTGCTCTTTACATAAATTATTGATCATATTTTCTTTAAACCAATATCTCAAATTAAATGTTTAAATAATGTTGTTTTGAATTAGCATTATTATTTTAAGAGATTCAGCTTAGAAGAATGAATGTTGCAAATGCAAAATTGTCTAATTTCTTGTTGCATACTCTATGGGGAAAAAAACATAAAATTCTTTAAATTTTCTTTTTTTTTTTCTGATTTGAAATTAAAATATTTAAAGAATTCCAATCTAAACACATGGTTTTTTAGTAGAGCACAGTTAATTGTCTTTGTAATAACAACTGGAAACTTGTACCTGTACAACAAAAGTGCAGAATAAAAAAATAAAGTTTCGGTTTTCCTTCTTCCTTATAAACACATTTGAGTAAAAAAAAAATTATATTTTATGTTTATACATCATTTAACATGTTTCCTTTACATTCCCTAGTCTTTGTCAGCTTTTTATGGTGAAATGAGAAAAAGTTTTGGAAATATCTCTGGAATGCAAGCAACATTTACAAGCTTTCGATATTGTCATTACTATACAATTCGAATTTTGAATCAAAAATCAAATATCTACCAACAAAACAGTAAAATTAAATGTTGACATATTGTTGGTTCTTAGAAAAAACTTTTTTTAATTAAAATGTTATAAAAATTTTAAATGAAATCGAGAAAATTAGCATTAATGCAACAATTGTAACGATTTGTTGACATACATTGGTGTTTGTAAGAAAATGTACGATTGGTTGACTAGGCTGAGAAAAAATAATTCATAGATTTCATTGGATGGGAGTACAAAAGCTTTCAGAAAAAGAGTGCAATATAAAATCTACTGCTAATAAATTATAACCAACTAATGTTTGGAGAATTTCATCAAGTTAAAAATAATAAAATATTTTTAATCATTTTGTCAAAGTAGAAAAAATTACCACCCAAGCATCAGAATTAACTTTAACCATAAATGGATTCAGCCCACGGATTAGAAGAAAAAAAACCTTACTTTTAAAAACAGAAGCAAATATCTTGGGGATATAATCGCCAAAGTGCCAAACAGAATTCAAAATTGCAAATTACAAAAAAACACAACATTTAGATGTTTTTTGGGGGTGGCTACAAGTTATACCTTTCAAGGTGGTCCCTTTCTGTGATGTTTTTTGCTAGTTTCTTATGGGCTGCTGCCAGGAAGTTGCCAAGATCTGTGGCGATTATTCTGCCACAGATCACGATACGGAAATCTCCCCCATTTTAACCCCTTCTTCCACCTCCACCACAATCTTTGCCTTTCCTAAGCTGCGAAGTCCTTTAGTCTCCATAGAAGTAAAAAGTTTCTCCATTCGTTTAGCGATCATGAGAGTTTTTATACGGAATTCTAGTTTAACAGGGTTATAATGGAGCAAATTTTGACGCAAGCAAAGTACCACTAAGTTGATGATATTTCAACTGTTCTGCAATATACTTCCGTCGAAAAAAGTCAGTATAACAGATGGTAAAGTAACTTAAATTAAGAAAATTAGTAAATAATGTAAATTAGTAAAATAAAGAAAAATCGAAGTAATATTTCCAGCTTTTCTTTAAGATTCTTCCAGGGTTTTATCCAAATTTCCCCGATTTTTCCAGCATAAAAAAATTCTCTAATAATTCCAGGTTTTCCAGGTGGGTGACCACCCTGTTTTTTTAACACATATTCATCATGAGATGTTGATTGAAAGGCAACACTTGACCACTCAAAAGGCTGATTCATATTTGAGAACACCAGAGGGCAGAGTTACACGGCATTAAATAATACATTATATGATTTCTTTAGGGATGACCTTTTTTTTGTAAAATGAACTAAAATTCATCTAAATGAAATGTACATAAATAAGAAAAAACATACTTAAAATATTTGCGTTTCCCTTTATTCCAAACACCTCTGAAATCTGGCATCCACTTAGCTGAATATTCACCTGGCTTTTGCTTTACACCTAAGCGCTTAGAAGGCAATCCTTTTTTCTTTTGAGCAGTAACTGTTAAAAAAATAAGCTATTTCAGACACCACATGATAACATAAAAATTCTTATATACTGATATAATTGAACAAAATTAAATAACTAAAAATTATCATAAATGTATGTGAATTTATACATTTTTTGAACAAGAGTTGGTAATGTTTTATTTTATATGACTATTGATATTTTATTTAGTTTAACAAACTGATATCAAGAATTCGGAAGGTAAGAAAAATGGCAATACAATCTAGTTACAAAATTGGAGAGAGCACTAAAATTGTACAAAATACTTGGCTTATATCAGTGACACAGAAAAAGAATTCTTCCACAGACTAGCCGATTATAAAATTTTCATAGCCCATGCTTCTCTCAGAATTATTCTCAACATAATTTTTTTTAAAAAAACATTTTTTACAAAACATACTTTTTAAAATATTGCTAAGACCAAAACATATTCCAAATTAAAAATATTCTCTCTTTACAAATACTGTGTGTGATCAATTAAAATAGCAAAAGAAAAAAATACCAAACAAAATAATATACACACAATTTGATAAATACAATAAAAAATCAATATCTATAGCCACAGCAATATAAATAATGCAAACAATTTTTAATTAGAGTATTTACTTATACAGGATTAATACCAACTCAGATGAAAATATTAACTAAAACACTATTCACAAAAAATATTCACATTGATGAAGAAAACATTCTTACTATAGCAAATATATCAAATCTATTTTACAATCTAATTTCTTATTTAACACTTCTTGTCTCCCTTTTTAATAGTGTAATATAATGAACAATTCATGAAGTAGAGTTTTAAAAAAATACCAGCAGATCCTTTCAATTGATACAGCAACATACGTAATGGAAATTTACTGCTGTTATATTAACCATATTAACCAGAAGACACTTTCTAAATATTAAAATGTACTATTTGCAGAAAATATTTAAAATGGTGAAATAAGAACACAACAAGTACCATTCATCAATTTAGAACTAACTTTTATATTAACATTTCTTGCCTCAACATTTTTAGGAATGATTAATTACGTTTAATTCATTTATCACAAGCAGTGCTGAATTCTCCCCCCGCCCTAAAAAATGGACTATTGTACAGAGTGCAAAAAAAGGACCACCCTGAATAAATTTTGATATAATCATCGAGGGAGTGACTTCATGATTTGATGGTAAGTTCTAAAATATATTAATTAATTAGTGCAGGCTATATTTTGAGTTACGAAATCAAGACACAAAACTGTACTTTCTCTGAATAAACATACCCTTTTTTCCGACAGATTTGGATTTCTTACATCCGGAATATAGGAGATAGCCACAATCTGGGAAATATGGTTCCCATAAATTGGTCAAGAGAGTGATCCAAAATTTGGACCTCTTAATGTTCATTTTACTTTTTGAGCATTTCGACATATCTCGAGATATTTTTAACGGTATACTGAAAATTTGGTACTTTCAAATTTTTAATATTGTCAAATTGTAAAAAAATCTTAATGCTATTTTTCATGGAGCTCCCGACAAGTAAAGAAAAACAAAGTATGAAGACCGATTTTCATTACATTTCCTCCACATTGATGTTTGACATTTGAAACTGATTTTGTTACTTACAGTGCAATAAAAAAATGGACTACCCTGAATGACTTTTGATCTAATAATTGCATCTTCACGTTCTAGCACTCAAACTCAAGGGGATGACCTCAAATATGCTAATTAATTAGTGCAGACGACATTTTAAGTTATGAAATCAGAAACAAAATACTCTCTTTAAATAAACATACCTTTTCTTCCACGAATTTGAATTTTTGACTTTCAAAACATAGCAGGTAGCGACAATCTGGGATATATGGTCCCCATACTTTGGTCAGGAGAGCAATCCAAAGTTTGGACCCCTTAATGTTAGTTTTACTTTTTTTGTAACTTGACAGACTTCAAGAACTTTTAAACAAATTGAAAAATTCTTACACAAAATTATAAAATTCGCTTACCAAAGATAATTTCATGCAAGAAATAAATTTAAAAAAACATTAATTATTTTTTATTATTTTGTTTAATAATAGTCGAAAAAAATTTAATTGTAAGGAATACAATTTTTGACATCATTTAACAGAACATAAGTTTACATTGCAAAATACAAAATTTATGCAAAATTAGTCTAATTGTCTGATAAATTGAATTTAAAAAAAAATGGCTGATTTCCCCCTCTACTCTTGTTTTAATCAACAAAATAGCATTCTCTAATAAATTTCACTTGAAGCGAGACAACTGCAAACAATCATTGAAAAAAAAAACAAGAATATTTTTTAATTACCAATTTTCAACATCACAATTTTAAAAATGGAAACGCAGGGTATAATTTCAATAGAATCATGAGAACAAATGAGCATTGAACATTATATTTTTCCAAGAGAGGATTTAGTAGCAGTTGGGGTAACTATATTTGACAACAATTAACTATATTTGACAACAATTTGTAAAAAAAATTGTCTCTCATTTTTATTTTTGGCTACTATATTCTTGAATTAGTTTAACTAATCTTTCTGTATCATTCCTGACCTCTATCTTCTCAAGATTTTCCTTTCTAGTTTTGTAATTAGCCTTCCATGCTGAAGGATCCTTTTTAAGGAAGTCGGTACTAATAGAAAATGTTTATAATGATGGTTAAAAGCGATGAAAAAGGATTTTCTATAGAAGGAAGAAATATCATTTTGGCATGGAATGTGTCGCATTATTTTAAATATTTCTTTTTCATCTTTTTCTTATACATCTGCATCCAGCATAGCTTGAGCCACATTTATCTTAAAGGTGGTTGAAACATTATCATCAAATAAGGCAAAAGTTACAGTTTTGCGAGTTAAGTACCAGAAAAGGTTGGAAAAGTTTTGAACAGCAGCTTTACTGATTTCTCCAACAGCACTCAAGCAATGAAATACACAATCTTTTTATCGAATTATTTTCTCTCTTGGACAATCGCAGCTGATTTTAAAATAGGTAAATACAGAGTACATAAATTGCCTTTGCCATTGATTTAGCATATGCAATGATATTCCGCTTATTTGGAATGCTATCAAGAAAGATCGTAGTTAGCTCCAACAATTCTCAATAATCATCTGGGAGATGTTTCTGCATACAAAGTTAGCATAAGAATGGTAGAGCGAAGATCATCAGGAGAATCTGTATTACAAGTTATGTAAATATTCTTGACAATTATGACCAAGTTTCTCTAAATCTTTCAAAAAATGCTATGTCTGGACCAGAATATGCATTCATGGCTGAATCAAAAGAGGTTCCAAAATATGATGAAGGTATAACAAATTACGATTGAACAATTTTTCAAGATTTATACAGGCACCATTCATTTGACTTGTGTTGCTTGCTGTTATATCATAACAAAGTGCTGCATCTGTTATATACGTTTTAACACTACTTCGTAAACAGCCACGGTCTGATCTTCCACAGATAATGTAGAGATTTTAAGGGCTTTCAAACAATTGTTCTTTACCTCAAAAGGCTACTATTAATGGTAGTCTATTTATCTTTTCAATACTGACACTTAGGAGGGAAGCAATTTTTCATCCGAATGTAACACAAATTTTTGGCATTTCTTTTGGTTAAATCTATGCTGAGTTTTTGTGTCTTTTCACTCCAATTTGTTTCTAATATGTGGTAAAACAGGATTTAAAACCAAGTTTTTTGTATCTAACCCAAAGTCTTCAAGAGCAACTATTAAAACAAAAAAAAACCCTTTTCTATATTTATTTTACATCAATCAAAAATTTCTGAGAGACGGGGAGTAAAATATTGCAATTTACTTTGAGTTTCTAGAACTACTCCTGCCTTGGTTGCTGATTTTTGCTTGCAGATGACTGAAGAATCTTTATTGTCTTAATCGCCTTCACTACTTAATGCTAAATCATCGGTTTCTGATGCTTCAAAATGCTGCCCCAAAACTACATTTGTATTTAAAATTCAATACTTTATTAATTATATGATTCGAATTATACAGTATAATATATTATTACCTAGAACAAACCCAGTTTTCAGGCTAATCCAATGTGGTTCTTTTAACTTCAGTACGAATGCACCTTAAAAAATATATCCACTACTCTCTATTTATGCTTTTTTCATATTTTGTAACATATTTTAAAATAATTTTACAAGTTATTCATAAGTACATGACATTGTTCTCCCTTCTTGTTTTATATGCTCCTATTTGTGCTTTATTCTGAATTTTTTCTTGAATTTTTGCGACATTTTAACTTTATACAATAACAAAACAAATTGGTCTCTTCAGGGATGAGAGTAGTCAGAAAGTAAAAAAGAGGAAATCCAAGAATATATACATATATATATAAACAAAAATTTGACAAAAAAAGTGCGATTTTTAAACTTGTAAGCCATGTGATTATAAATCCCGATATGAGGCTTTTAAATCACGTGAATATGAAACTCTACATCGAATTTAAAAAAATACGAAAATACAAATCATGATGCGTAATTTTTAGATCAAGATGCATAATTTTGAAATCGCGCGATATTGCAACCGCAAAAACGAATCACGACATTGGATTTGCAGAGTCTGGACTTGGGATTTCTAAAAGGCTTGTTTGAATTGTTTTTTGTTTACACAATAAATAAAAATTTACAAGATTAATTGAATGAGCAAATAAATATTTTCACCACAAATCCACCTCTTTTTTTTTTCGCTTTTTTTGTTTGCTTTCTCTCCAGAATACAAGAAGCAGCGACGTCTAAATTACGAAAATACGAGCTATCCCGCCGACGGATAAAAAATACGGAAAATCTTATTTTCTGTGCGTGAAATCGGAGAAAATAGCTAATATAAGTAAACATGCGGAAGGATTAGCAGCTAGGACGTAGTTTGAATTTTCTGTTTTTCTTTGAAAATCGTAAATAAATATAATAATTTGACTTCAACGACTGAATTTTTTTTAAAAAAAAACGGGATATTTATAAATAAATAAATAAAAAAAACGAAACTTTTAGAGAATCTGAGTTTTTGATAAAAAGGCTGAAATTCGAGAGAAAAAAGCGAAAAAAATCTCATCCCTGTATAAAGGTCAACCTGTTTTATCCCAAGGAAATGATTTATAGAGAAACTTCAGAGGGAGGAATGAGGACTTCAATAATTTCGCTCCGCGGAAAATTAAATACCTCATAAAATATTTTAACTTGTGCAAAAAAAAATTTCAGCGGAAATTAGCGGGAGAAATGGAAAAATCTGAGAAAAAGCGGAAATCCGCGAATCCGCGGAAGAATCTCATCCCTGTANTTTTTTTTTTTTTTTTTTTTTTTTTTGGTGCTCATAAACACTATTGCATTCATAATTTTTGCTTTGGCTACATTAATACTATCTCAGAAAGCACTATCTTTACAGTTATATATACACCCTTTTCAGATTACCACAGGATTATATCTTTTTGTAGTTAACTTCTCCAATTTTTGAATATTTTTTTTTTCATTTTTAAATATTTTTTCTTCTTTTATTAAAAAATTTTTTTTTCTTTTCTTTTTCCTGTTTTCCTTGACTTTCTATCTTATGTATAACTGCCATATATATATATGTATACAGCGTGGCTCAGAAAATATGCATAAAAAATATAAAAGCAGGTAGAGAGGACCTAAATAAGCATATTTTATGAAAGGTGTGAGTGGAAATACCCAGTTAAGCTGATACTGCTGTTGCTGAGTATACAACAATCCATGCCGCGATGTGAATCTTGTACCCCTGTTGGTCATCGCTCTTTCAAACAGCTGTTGCAAACTGTAATTGATTATATTTTGATTGCAAACTGATTTTGTAGAAGAGTGTAGAGGCAAAAATACAGTGCAAAAGCACTGAAATGTAAAGCAGCAGGAAACATAAGTAAATAAATATTCCAAGTTCGACAAAAAGAAACAATGATTAATGAACAGTTTACAATACCTAAGAATCAATAAGTTTATTAATCAAATTACAATCAATTACAGTTAACAATAGCTGCTCAAAAGTAATCGACATTAACATAGCAAGCAACGTTAGTAAGGAACAGTGCTCTCTATCGGCTTAACACGGCATTTCTGCACATATATTCCTTTGTGAAATATGCTGATTCGGTCCCCTTTATCTGCTTTTACATTTTTGACATATTTGAATCACTATATGTATCTATATATACACAGTTATAAGTCAGAAACAGATAACCCCAACATATAACATATGCCACCAAGCATGGCAAAAATAAATCTCTTCACTAAATGAATATCATAAAAGCATATAATACAGTAAATTGATGTAATATAAAGAATGAAAATTTCTCAAAGGATCTCAATTTTTGACACAGTTTTGCAACATCCGTAAGCAGTGATAATAAAAATGCATGAAAAAAACCTAAGCTTCAAGAAAATATTTAAAAATTTTGAAATTCATTGCTTTTTTATTATTTGTGAAAATCTCAGATTTTAATGCTTCAATTTACAAATATGCTTTAAATCATAGGTAGGCAAGAAACAAAAGCTTCTCTCTCTCCATAATCTGTATATTAATGGTTATTACTCATGCTTTTAAATAACCGCAATGTGAAATTTTAAAAATCAAGCAAATCTTGATTCGCAATCTGTACAATGAATTAATATGAAGCCTGCTGCAGGCCTCTGATATAGAAAAAAATTATAAATCCCAATGTGTGACTTGCAAATTGTAATAAAATTGTGATTATTTGATATGAATAGCAAATAATACAATTTGAGAAATGAGTGAAATAACAAGTTGCATGAAGTCACAAGTCCCTTGAATATAAATTGTAGTGGTGTGGTGGTTCATCCATATGGTGATGCATTATTCATAAACATTTTTAACACAAATCCTGATATGTAATTTGTAAGTCACTTTCATTCGAATATGCATGTGAGATTCAATAATAAAAGTTTTCATTCATTCACTGCTTCATAAATTGGGTTAATAAGAATCGTGATTCAGAAAGAATGAAAGTGAATCTGAAGAATTTAAGTATGTCCATTAGCCCAAAAAATTACATCTAGAAAATTATACATAAATCATAAGAAAATATATAAACATGCTCCTAATTATTAAAATTAAGAGCCAGTTTTTTTTTTCAAAAAAAATCAAACAAACTTGATAGACATTTCTAACCTGGTTGAAATTTTCTGGAAAAATTCTTTGCATAAAACTTAAATACATGTTTTTTTTTCTGCAACAAAAAACTGAGATTCTTTGAAATTTTGAGAAAAACACACATGTGGCAATACTTTCTGTTAAATATGTGAACCATGGCATGGATGGTTATTTTGATCAAATTTTTTATTAAAACTTTCATTCTAAGTATTAAAATATAAATACCTATTGTGGACTTTTACACCGAAGGTCAAACGTCATTCAAAAATCTTCTAAATAAGGCTATTTTCTTAGATTTTGACCGCTAAAATCTACAGATTCAACATTTGAGGAAACACAACACATCAATCAAAACAAAACCAATCTACAGTGTGCCAAAAAAAAAAAAAAAACGGACCACTCTGAATAATTTTTGATCTAATGATCAGATCATGTTATAGGCCTTTATCTTCATGGCTTGAGGAGGTGACTTCCAATATGCTAATTAATTAGTACAAAAATATTTTAAGTTACAAAATCAGACACAAAAAAGTACTTTCTCTGGATAAACATACCGTTTTTTAAAAGAATTCAGATTTCTGACTCCCAAAATATAGAGGGTAGCCACAATCTGGGGTCCCAATACTTTGGTCAGGAAACCGATCCAAAGCTTCGACCTCTGAATATTAATTTTACTTTTTGCGAATTTTGACATATTTCGAGATATTTCTAAGCAAATGGAAAATTTTTTGCACACAATTATAAATTCGTTTTTCCAAAGATTTCAATGTAAAAATATATTTTAGTAAATATTTATCATTTTTCATTCTGTTATTTTAATAATAGTCAAACAATTTTGAATTGTAATATATAAAATTTTTTACTCATTTTAAAGTATGTATTTCTACGTGGCAAAATACGAAATTTGGACAAAATTGGCTGAATAGTTCATTGGCTGAATAGTTCAATAATCAAATTTTAAAAGTTTTACTTCTTTAAAAGAGTTCTCAGAAACTAATTTAAGTCGCTTAAAAAAATCTTGAGATATGGTGAAATAAGCAAAAAGTAAAATTAACATTAAGGGGTCGAAACTTCGGATCGCTCTCCGAACCAAACTATGGGCACCATATTTCCCAGATTGCTGCTACTCTTTGTTTTGAGGGTCAGAAATCTGAATCCATGGATAAAAGGTATGTTTACTTAGAAAGAGTATGTTTTTGTGTTTGATTTTGTAACTGAAATCCAAAATCCATGGAAAAAAGGTATCTTTATTTAGAAAGAGTATGTTTTTGTGTCTGATTCTGTAACTTAAAATATCATATGCACTAATTAATTAGTAACTTCAAGGTCACCTCCTCGAGTTTCAGTACTAGAACATGAAGATCCAATTATTAGATCAAGAGCTATTTAGGTTGTTACCTTTTTTTGACACACTGTACAGTAACAAAATCAGTTTCAAAGGTCCAAACATCAATGTGGACAAAATTTAATTAAAATGGGCCTTCATACTTCATTTTTTCTTCACTTGTTGGGAGCTTCATGAAAAATAGCATTCTGATTTTTTTACAATTTCATGTTTGACAATATTAAAAATTCGAAACTACCAAATTTTTTGTATTAAAAAGGGATCTTTATTTCTTTGAATAGAAAAAGGGGAAAGTTTTGTTCAGGACGGGAAAAAGTGTAATTTTTGGTCGAAAGTAATTTGAAAATTGAGAATAATTATCATGTAATAAATAACTTTATTTCTCTGAACTCGATGCTCAAAATTTTATTTAAGATTTTCTTCAGTTGACTAAAAAAATACCTTCTTTTTCAATTTAAATTCATACAAAGACATTTTTTAAAAGGGAGCAACATTAACACTAATAACTATAGAATCATTCTAATTTTGACAATCCTTACACATCATTCTTACACATAGCACAAATTTTCTGCTTTCATTCTATGGACTTTTGCAAATGGGTTTCATCAAGGGAATTAACTTGCCCTGGCTGAAGCAACACACCTTTGCAACAAAAGCAGAGAAAGTGAAATTTCATTATCTTGCAATAACAGGCAAGGCTAGCTTTCTCTGTAGGTAAGTGTTTCTTTAAGTGTGGAGCACGTCTAATAAAGAGAGAGAGTTTAAGGTTTCTTTAAAAAGGGGGTTGAGAAAATATTGATAGAAACATTGCCAGAAAATGAAAAAATATTTTTTTATCTGATTTTTGTTTTATATGTAAAAAAATCTTACTTCCGTTCCCCGACATTTTTAATAAATTTTTTTTCCATCTTGCTTTTGATCACAAACATTTTCAAAAGACGAGACACAGAGAAGTCTATGTCTGTAATGAAATACTTGTATTTATAAAGTCCATTATTATTTAAATTAGTGTTCACGTTTGTTATCATCTAAATTCAAAAAGAATGGTGTGTGCTTTATAAGCAGTTAGTAAAAACACATCCTGACATAAAAAGGAATGGGGAAAAAAACTAGAATATCTCTGATACAAAAACAGGGATAAATTTAAAGATTACTTTAGTTTCAATACTTCAATACTCTGTATAACGATAAATTTCACCATAAAATAAAATTCTAAAGCTTGATCTAAACTTCATATAGATATCAAATATGAGCTAAAATTAAAAACCTTTATAGTCTTTAAAGAAATGTAATGCCAACTGCACAACTTTTGCAACCCCTATTCTAGCAGATATAAATTACTTACCATGTTTTGTTAATGTATCTATTGTAGGACCAATCACCGGAGTAATGCTAATATTCAAATGTGAAAGATTATGTTCTTTCCCATCTAAAAGCCAGGGTGGAAGTGGCTCAACGGGTTTATTTACAGACACCTAAAATTTAGAAAACATTAAATCACATTTTTCTGAATCAATATATAATATTCCAATTATAATAATATATATAATATTCCAATATATAATAATCAATATATAATATTACAATATTGAATCAATATATAATATTCCACTATTATTGATTATTTATGAAAATTATCTGTTATTATTGATTATTTATTAAAATGATTAATTATTATTGATTATTTAATCCTACTTACAGTTTAATATTTGAAACATGGTTTCTGATACTACCAGAATTTTTTTTGCTCATATAGGAATCTATTGCACTAGAAGTATGCCCTAATTTTTTTCGAAATTGAATTTATCAAGCATTAAGTATTACACAATAACAAACAATAGCATGTAATATTTTTAAGCATTTTTATTTTATATAAAATGACTGTCTCTGCAATTTACTTTTTTATATGTAACAGGTCAATCTACTAAAACAATATGATTAATGAAAAGTTATATTTATTTATTTATAAACAACAAATAAAATAAAAAATATTACTAGGGTTAGTAAGGTTTTGAACATAATAATGAAATCTGTGGACAAAACCTGTACTATCTAAACCCTTTTTCCTAACCCGAGTTGGGAAAAAACCAGTTTGATTCCAAAGAAGAAAAAAAATCCTTTTTTTTACTTATTTAAAACAAAAGTTTAAATAATATTTTACGCATTAAATTAAAAGTAATTAAAACATGAAAAATATTTCCCAACATGTTTTTCAATTGTTAATTAATATGTTTAATCAACTATCAAGAAATATCTCCCTTCGTACAATAAGCATGCTAACATGATAAAAAAGAGTAACCAAAGACTTGAAATATGCATATTCATCAATTTGCAACTTCACCTAACTTAGAAATAAAAATTTAATATCTAAATATTTTAATAATAAAGCAGGTAAAAGTGTGAGTTTCCCTTTGCTTGTCAATATATATTTTCTTACATATAATATTTCCTTGCATAAGTTAATTTATATATATATATATATATATATATGCAGCACTGCAATGATGCAGAAACATTTAAAAATTACTAATTAAAGTTCATTAAAAGTTACACTAATTCTAAAGCAATTAAATGCAAAATGTAAAAGATTTTAATAGCAAAACTTACTGTTTTTCATTTGGTCAAATTTAAACTAAAAGTTATTACACAAATAGAAAATTGTGTTATCAAAAATAATTTTTTTTCTTAAAAAAAAATACCCTGAATCCCATTGGTATAAACCAGCCAATTGTGACTCAAACAGTTATAATTTTATTTAATTTCTTGGATCAATTATAAAAGATTGCAAAAGAATTTCAGTCAGAAAAAATATAGGTATTATTTTAATTTAATTTTTTTAAAAACTCAAAAGAACTTTTTATTTATAAATTTAATAATAAAAGCTTCAAAATATTAAATATTACTCTTTAATGTCAATAATGATAATCGTAATAACAATTTAATGCAATTATTCTTTTGAAGAATGAAAAAATGAAGTACTAGAAAAAAATTTCTAATTATTCAGGATAAAAAGAAGAATAGCACAACCACACATGTATTTTATAAACTAAATTTAAAGTAACTCTTCTCTGGACTGCTTTTCCGCAATACTAAGAAAGAAGATATATTTTGGCCTTCTTATTGGAGACACTCTGCCTTGCTTAGGATGGAAGTTATAGTTAATGAATAATAATTGATGAGTTCAAAAACAAAAGAATGGTGAAAACTATATGCCTTGAAATGTGAAATACTTGTAAAAAAAGTTTTTTATAATACGTTAATTAATAATTTTTGCTCTAAATTGAAAGTAACTAAACCATTAGAAAGTATTTTACATTTACCTATTGATTAATATTTGTAATAAAGAATTCAAAAGTAGTCACTTTTGTACCATACACATGTGAACATAATTAAAAACTATAATAACTCAATATTTTAAATATACTTATTGAAATAATGAAATAATTAAAATTGATAGAATGAAAATAAATTTTAAAAAAAGACAAATAAGCTGCATAAATATAAACATATAAAATAGTATATGTATGTTTTGATACTTATGGTTCAAAAAATAAAGAATAATTGGCAATATTCTTGTTAGCCTATTGCAGCCTTAAATAAATAAATAAAAAATATAATTTAAATAATAATTATTATAAAATAACGAAATAATTTATTTAAAAAAAAAAACATTTTAAACAAACTCTGACTATTTTTCTTAAACCATTAAAAAAAATTCATATTATTAGTATACACACAAATAATTAAGGTAAGATGCTTTTTTGGACAAATATTCATTATTTTTTTCATGATTCTAATTTTTAAAATATATGTTCGCATAATGTTTATTTGATATGCATAAAATATATGTTTTTAAAATATAACTTAATAATTCACAACAAATAACTAAACTTTGGGTGTTCATTGATGAAATTAATTCCACTTCATACTTAGATGAGCTTTGAATTCTAATCCACTTAAAAACGCCTGTCTATTAAGATTTTTAAAAAATTATATTTAATCTTATGTCTTGATTTACCACTAGTATTATATAGTATATTTCAGGTCAGTCACTTGAAACAAAAGATTAAAATTCAGAATGTAAAAATTTAATCATTACATTGAAATTTATTTAAAATTAGTACATTTTATTTTTCACTGCGCTTTGTTTTGATTTAAAGTATTTAACCTTAAATATTAAAATAAGAACCCTGTATGAAAATAGAAAACCACAACTATATACAAAGAAAAATCAAGTCTGTATTGTTTTGAACACATTACAATAACAAAACAGTAAAACCATCAATTCATAGCACAAATTTAAAGAATTTACCATCAAATTGTTATTTGTAGAATGAGATTGTGTAACAGGAATCACAGCACTGGCACCATTACTTGACACAGAATTCTAAAATAAATATTTCATTGAAAACATTATAATGAACACATTAAAAAAATTCTAAAAGTATATAAAACGTATTAAACATAGTTAGCATCATCCTTCAAAATCAATAATTATGCATTCTTGATAGATCACACAAATTTGAAAATGTTTCTAGCAATTACACTTTTGAAGAAAAGTGGAAACTATACAGAAATCAGCAAAAACAATTAAATGTCTTTTTAATTATAAAAAAGAAAAAAATCAAAAACCTCACAATGTATTTAATAAATAAATATAACTTATTTTTGCTATGAAAATTCTAATTTTTAACCACCATGCTAAAGTTACTGTAATCACATTATTCATCAATAAATTTAATTATTATTAATAAATTTTATGTTGTTAGATATTAGTTAAATTGTAGCTGATATTAAGAAAACCTATCTAATGTTCAATCAGGTAGAACAAATAGGTATTGAACAGCTCAAATAATTTTCTTTTTTTCACTTATTCACAGCAAATATTTAAATTACTGCAGTTAATTAATATAATTTTGTTATTAAATAGAAAATATATAATTGTACAGTTGAACCTGTTTATCTCGAACCTCTTTATTTCACAAACTTCTATATCTCAAAATTTCTAAAATTCTCTACATTTACAATCTAAATTCAATGTATTTTCAGTGTTTGTCTCAAATTTTTTTTTCTTTCAAAACCTCTGTTTCTCGAATTTCTAATAATAGAGTACAAATGCCCAAACAACATAACTTTCTTTATCAGCGGAACTGTGGATCTGTTCTGGAAAGTGTGTGTCAACAATGGATAAAAAACATTCCTGCTCTAGTGAAAGGATACGAACTAAAGAATATTTTCAATGCAGATAAAGCAGAACTATTTTATCAATGCTTGCTTGACAAAACAGCCATGTTTAAGGATGAAGAGTGCAGAGGCAGAAAACAAAGCAAAGTTCATTTGGCATTACTCTTAGCTGCCAACAAAGATGAATTAGAGAGTCTTCCTCCTCTCATGATAGGACGTTCGGAAAAACCTAAATGCTTTGCTAAAGTTAAATCTTTCTCTTTCAAGTACAAAGCCAACAGGAAAGCTCAGATGACAAGTGAAATATTTGGCAATTGGCTCAATTCCTTAGACAAATCTATGCAAGTGAAAAAGAGAAGAATTATTCTTTTCATAGACAACTGCACTGCACATAACAATCTGCCTAACTTGAAAAATATGTTTTCCTGCAAACACCACCTCAAAATTTCAACCAATGGATCAAGGCATAATTAGGAGTTTTAAAGTAAATTATAGAAAACAGTTGGTATGCAAAATTGTAGATGCCATAGATGAAAAAAGTTCTTGTCCAAAGATAAATGTGTTGGATGCTATCAGAATGACTGATTATGCCTGGAGAAATGTGTCTCTGAAAACTATCCAAAATGGTTTTAAAAAGGCTGGTTTTAAGAACAGCTGTGAAGATGATGAAAAAGAGGTTGAAGGCATTAGTAAAGATGAAGAAACTGTTGACACTGGAAATGCAGTGCTAGATTTCCGTGAATGAAATGCAATAAAATCAGGATTTAATGTTGAGATTCATTTTGAAGATTTTTTACAAGTGGACAACTGCCTGGCGGAACATTGATAAATGCGGAAATCATAGATAGTGTCAAAGGAATATCAGATAAAGAGGAAGAAGCTGAAGATCATATTAATGAACCAAAAGAGGCAGAAAAAGCTAGAACTCTTACAAACTTTTCTTGAATCATTGGAAAATATTGGCTATAAGGGATTCGCTGCTTTTTCTAACCTTAAAAGAATTTTCGAAGTAAAGAAGGTAAGACGTCAAAAATCTTTGAAAGATTTATTATCTTTGAAAGATTATTAGAATTATTATTGATTATTTAAAAGATTCAGTGTTAAAGGCATGTAAAAAAATTTTTTATGTAAATAGATGTATGTGGTGTTATTAATTTACAGAAATGCCTATATTTTTCTACTAAAAACAATGAAAGCACTTTTAATAATTTATTAATTAAATTTTATTTTTTAAAGTACCTGTATAACTCAAAACCTTTTTAGCTCAAATTTTTTGACTTTCCCGTGAGATTCGAGATAAAAAGGTCCAACTGCGTGAAAGAATCAAGTAATATCATTTTCCTTGCTTCTACCTCTATGAAGCCAATAAAATAATAATTGCACAATACTTTAATAGCAAAATTAGATATTAAAATAAATAAATGCTAAATGAAGCACCTAGTACCCTTATAATTGATTTAGAATTACAAATTATAAAGCAATTATAAGGAAATTGAAATTTCCATTTATAAGTGAACTTTTATTACTTACTAGATTAAGTTTAAATCAAATTATTGTTCTCTTATAAAAAAATTTTCATATCAAATTAGATGGGAAATATTAATCATAATTATTTGAAAATGACCAAGAATATTCCTTAATCCTAAGTTACCTCATTGGACCTGAGTTCCTTTTTTTAAGGACAGTTCAAAAATAATTATAATTTTCTAATACTAATATTTTTATAATATTGATATAATAATATTTTTAGGTAATAATTATTTTATTTAAAAACATCTTATTATTTCAACTGTAAGAATATGTTTTTTCCGATACCGTTTTTTCTTTCTTTTTTTGACATTTTGTATGGTATTTCAAATTTTTTGCCTTTTTAAAATGACAGAAAAAATGCTCAAACAGAATTTGTTTCAGAAATTCCTCCTGCTGATTTTCGATCATTCATTAATATTTAAAATATCACTCAGAAATTGTAACTTGGGCATTGTTAGGTAAACTGAAAGAACTAAAAAAAAAATAAACAAATAAATAAAATAAATTTTTGGACATCATTCAGCATTTTTCCTGTAAATACATCATTCATACATACAATTACACATAATGAAGTATTTCATCACAGGGTTCAAAATTATTTTTTATTGATTGAGTTTATAAAGTTAAAAAGAAATTTTAAACAAGAAACATTTAAGTCATTAAAAAATACATTAAATACATAAAAATCAGAAAGAGTACAGAAATTAATTGTATTATTAATGTAATTATTAATATAATTATTTTTTTATCAAATGGGTCTGCTTGATGCACTGTAATACAAACAGAAAAAGAATGCAAGATAATAAAGAATATATTAATTTTGTAAAAGCAGAAATAGAAGAAGTAAATCTTGGATGATTACAGTACAAGAAAAGAACAAAAATTTTAAAAAAATTTAAACAATTAAAAACAATTAAACAAACAATTAAAAAAAATTTTTTTTTTTTAAAAATGGCGGGAAAATTCTCGAATTTCGTTCCGGTTTTTTGGTTTTCTGATTTCCGGATAACGGGTTCTGCACTGTATATGCTTTTGTGTTTTAAAAGATATTATAAATCAAGTGACCAACTTTTCATATTGATAATAAAAAGAGTAATGTTAAATGAAAACCAAAACAATATTAAAACTGAATTAAGAGATAAAGTTAACTCAAAATCTGATTTGAATAATTTAAAATTTTTTTGAAGAAAATCAGTTTGTGTAATTTAACATGTTAGTGACAATATAGCATATATAAAATGTAAATCTTACGTTTTTTTTAATAAATTTAACTTTTCCAAACAATAACAAAAACATAAAATATAACAGAGCTGTAACGGAGAGTTGTTTGAACAACTTAAAATAATATTATGATGACATAAGACAATAAGTTAAAAACTTTCCCTTTGAAAAAAAATTTAGCTCAAAGAACACAGAAATTTCAAATATACTTTAAAGGCCTTAGAGCATTACAGTAAGTTGTAAGCAGAAACTGTATCATAAAGTAGAATTACTTTGAGACACTTTCTTTTATTAATTTTTTAAATTGTAAGTAAAGCTCTAAATGCTTTTCAAATTCTATCATAACTCTTTTTTTAAAATCGTAAGTAAAACTTAATTTTAAATGTTAAGTAAAATGTAAAAAAAATGTTTTCTCTATCACAAAATCATCACTTTAGGTGTGGTGACTTTGGGATAGCTAATTTATTGCCTTAAAAGCAAATAAAACATTATTCTAGCACATAGTAAACTTTTTGATATTGAACTTATAGATAAAAAATTTTTTAAATATCTATAGAAATTTTCAAAACCTAATTATTGTCACAGTTTCTAGGAAAAAATATTTAAAAAAAGATATGGAATAAAAGTATTAAATTTTTAAGAGTTACAGGTAATAATATTATAATTAATTCTGTTATTATTAATTTTATTAATACTATGAATTCTAATATTATCATTAATTATATTACTATAATTTATAATTTAACCTTAAAAACCATCGAACAAATTAACAGAAACTTCGTTTTGAAGTTGGATATTTTTTAAAATTTGATTTCTCATTTAATTATAAATAAAATATGTTCATTGTAATAAGAATCTGAAAATTAACTTAGTTTATTGATAATAATACCTTAAATATGTACTTCAGATAAGATTTGGCAAGGTTCCTCACAGAGAGCAACAGAAATACAATGAGATCTTAACTCTTATATATCAATGTGAATAAGTTATCACAAAAATTAAATTTGTTTTATAACTTATACTTTCAAAAAATTCTTGAACAATTACTATATTTTTTTCTATTGTTAAAAGCCAATCAACTCTAAAAAATGTGAGTGTCCCAAAATCACCTCACTTTTCACTAAGTAATATATTTTATGGTACAGAACAAATCCTATAAAAATAACAATTATGAAAAATTATCAAAGAATAAAAAGGAAACTTAAATATAACAAAAATGTAATTACCACATCAATAAACTTATTCTGAAAACATAATTTTTAAAAATACCTGAACAGTTTCTCCAACCAATTTTTTTCTCTGCTCTTCGACATCTCTTATGGACTGAATATCCTGAAAAAAGTACAAAAAATAGCCTTAATTTTTTTCTAAAACAAGAAAAAACAGCTACTGTCATACAAGAATATTTGAATTAATTTTGAACAAAATACATAAATCACCACACTAAACACCTGCGTTAAACATGAGCATCAAGTTTCATTTTCTCTAATTTAATGTTAAATCAAATAAGAGAATTCAAAAATTATGAAACAATAAAGTTCTGATATGCAAGTAACTGAAAAAAGTAAAAAGAAAAATCTACCTTCATGTTGAGCAGATCTAGTTTTTTTAGATATGTATCTCTTGCCTCAGGAATTCTTTCTAAGAATCTAAAAATTAAAATTATTATCAGCCGAATCAAAAATATGATAGAAAGTTTTAATAATAAAAAGGAGGAGCAGGTTTAAATTACAACAGAATAATTTATTAACATATTTTTCAAAGCTAAGCTGGCTTACTTCTCATTTTTAAATCTTACAAAAGGTTTGACGAAAAAATATGCAATGGGACAAAGCAGACACATAAATAGCTTCAACAATTAAAAAAGAGAACCAAACCTGAAAGCTGTAATTAAAACTATACATGTTGCTGAACAAATATTAAAAATTAGGACAGTTAAAAAAAAATTTCTTCAGACTCTAAGAACGTAATGAAATTTCAAATTCCTTAAAATTATATTGAACACATGATGCAATAACAATAAAGAAAACACTCAAATAGCAAGTTATTTGATGCGACACAGCATTGATAACATGCCCTAAGATTTTAACAAGTTTGTGCGCAGGTTTTTACCTCCATAGGTAGATACTCAATTATACAACTTAAATTTGGATTTTGGCTCCCAATGTTGTTAAAAAACAAAAATGTAAAAATCTATTATTGGATATGAAAAAACTTTTAACTGAGCATGCGCAACCAATCATTCTTGTACCACTACATGGATTTTTTTCATAAAAAAGTAACACCAGATTTTATCCTCTGGTATTGGGTTTAAAATAGAAAACATAATCAAATCACCAGTGCAAGTGCATGCAAAGACATGTTTGATAGTAACTGAGTAAATGATGCAATCTCCACACAATTGCATTTATGCTTTTTAGATACCCCATACACATTTCATAAATTGAAATCAGAGTGAAATATGCAATAAAAAGCATAACAAATCTGCACCCATGGATCTAAATTCATAACATGTTCTTTGCTAGTTGAATAGTTGTATTAAAGCTTTGCTAGTTGAATAGTTACTAACCTTATAAGATACCCTACTTACTTACAAAATATTAAACTATTCATTTACATATTTTTCATGAACTCTTAATGGTTTAACGGCTCTATACTAAACATCTACTCCTGTAACTCCTATCAACCAAAAAAATTTCTATAACGTTAGCTTTTCTTTTTCAGTATAAAAAGCTAATAATGATTCAACATAAAGCAATGTAAGCATCTCTATCCCCATGTGACACTTTCTGCGCAGTCAAAGTGTGTGTTTGAACTTTGCATTACTGTACACTGTGCAGGAAACAAAATGCAAAATGATGAGAAAAACAAATAGAGAGTATTAAGAAATTTCCTTAACAAAATAATACTCTAAACTATGACAGAAAAAACTAACCTTGAAAACTTGCCTCCAACTCATGTGATCAATCACAATTAAGACACACACTCAGAGTTATGATGACATTTCCTTTCAGTTACCTCCCTTACCAGCACTTAATTTTACAAAGGAGAGGAATATGAAAAAGTTGGTTTCTCCTTCTCAGAAGTGAATAATGAATAATAATAGAAAAAAGCAGACTTTGGATATTTAAAAGAGAAAAAAAGCATAGTCAAAGAAATGTACGAAAAGCGGAAAATCTTGGATCAGCAGAAGATTTTCACATCTATTATAAACTGAAATCATTTTATTAAATATTGTTTTAAATTTTTAAGGTATTGTAAAGGTAATGTTTATTGTTTTAAGGTAATATTAAGACATTATTTTTACATTTTCTTTCAAAAACTTAATACCCCCATTTTACTATTGAAAATTCAAGTTTTAATTGCAAAATGAAGAATGGAATGGAAAAAAACAAGCAGCACTATATTAAAATATACATTTCAAACTTCAAAAAGATAAATGATAAATCAATTTTTTAAGTTTGAAATTTTGATATTTGGGTTTAATTTCATTGAAATTACCCACGGGTGACATTTCACCATGGAAGAAAGTGATTAGAAATGGCTGTTGCAAATCATCAAATGCTGGACTTAGATAACTAAAATTTAAGTTGCGATATTTCTTTACACAAATGTTTAAACCCTATGAATATTTCATCATTTTACTAACAATTATCAATTTAAATCAAACATGAGTGATTCCCAAAAAACATAGGACCTTCCTGCACCCCCTCCACCTTCAAAAAATATGGAATCCCATATAGCATCTCTTTAATGCAAGAACAATAAAGGATAATGAACAATAATAATTTAGAACATAGAATATAAAAAGAAAAACAAAAACAGTGTGAGCTTGCTTTTTACAAAATAAAATATTCAAGAATTATTTTCATAAATAAAACACAAATAAAAGCTTTATGTAAAAAATTAGGAATATTGCTTAACAATAACATTCAAATATAATCAATTGTTTTACTTTTACAAACTAAACTAATTAGGAAAAATGCTGAGTTTTCCAAACCTTACTTGAAAAGTTAGCCCCAAGTTTAAACAATGAAAATAAGTAATTAAAACATAAAAATAATTGTGTTTTATTACATTAATAAATTGAATGTATTGCTATATTAATAAGCATACTTATTCAGTTCAACTTCTGTCTTAATAAATAGTTCAAACTTTTCTTTCCTTTCATGATATTTCAAATACTTCTTTACTGCAATTAAATGATCAGAGCTAAAATATAAAAAAACTAATTAATAAAAAACTTATAGAGCAAATTTAAGAGAAAGTTATAAAAACAGAGCTTGAAAAAGACAAAACAGATTGTTCTTTTCAAATCAAATACAAGTCCAGTTTAATATCATTTTTTAATAAAATATTAAGTATAAAATTTTAAAGATAAACAAAAAATGACCAAAATATCGAGAAATTTTTTTTTGTTCATAATGAAACTTCAAACTATTTCAAATGGACTGAAAAAAAATCATCACTCTATCTACATTTTTAAAAAAGTTATGAATGATTTTAGATTGGCCTAAAACAAAACTTTGATCAGCAGACAGCTCTTCAGCTGGTTTTGCATCAGCTGTTTCTATCCAACCAAATAAATTATAAATATAACTTAGAAGCCAAGTCTCATTTTATTTCAAATTCTGTAATAATTTTTAATTGCTTAATATGTAAATAATTTAAATTTTTCAGGAATAATTGAAGTGTTCTGAAATTTTAAAAAATTGTATATTTAAATACATTTTTATTCTTTCAAATCTTTTTTATGCTTTTTACATATATAACTGTATAAATTTGTTTTGTATAATGTATAAAACATATTTTGGCTGGTTATAATTACTTTTTCAACAAAAACAAAACTTAAAAAGTGCTTTTTTTCTCATAGATGATAATTTTGTGTTTACATCGTAATTAAATCCCTATGGAGTTTTTTTCTACTTAAGATAAGATAAAGCTTTGAAGTAAACTTTTTTATCTTAAGTATAATACACTAATTTAAACTGTGCATGGAATAAGCATTTTATGAGGTATTACAATTTTTACAGCATGTTATATATATACCAAACAGGAATTTTCAACCTTTTTTTCCTACTTTTGTATAAAATAATCTATAAAAAATGTTCTAATTGATATATGTTCAGTTTTGTATGCGATCAGCGCCCTCTGTGTAAACAACAAGAACTAGTGAGTATATTAACAACCTCGAAAGAGGCAAGTGTGTGAGTTCAGTGTGTGAAGCAAATAAAATAACAGTCCACTGCGCCAATATGTGTTTTGAGTCCTGTGTTTTTAAACGAAATAACAAAATGAATGCCCAAAATTGTTAAGATGAATATTGTAAGCACTAAGGAAAAAAAATTTAAAACATGTTAAAATAAAAAATTTTTAGGAATTTAAAAATTTTGAAGTTTAACTATATATTAAGGATAAATTATTGATTATAAGTTAAAGAGCATGTAAAGCATCCACAAAATGAATGATTACACCTTTATTTTAAAATGTTCCAAGGGTACTGTGACCCCTTAACAAATTTATATCTTTTAGAACATAATCTAGACTTTTTACAGTAAGATAAGCAAACAGAAGAAATGATTATAAAAATGATGACCCATTGATGACCAATGATCCTAAAAAAATTTCAACCAAGCTGAACAATAATGAATTAAAAAATATAACACAATAAAAAAAATCAGTTTTTTTTAAATAATGTGTGATAAATCTTAAAACTATAGTTACAGACACCAATCAGTGATATAAAAATAACAAAAAGTTCATATACTATGTGAAATAACAAACACTGAGACATCACCAATGCATCACAATGTGATAAACACTGTAAGATATAATTTATTGAAATAAAAAAGAAAGAACTGTATCATTTCTTTTAATATTCAAAAAATAGTAAAGCTATAATTATAAAACCTGGCTCAAAATATCGAAGTTTTACATCCAACTTGGAAAGACTAATACTCAATAGGAATTTGATTACTTTTCATTACTTCAAATAAAGGATAATAAATGTTCAGTAAAACAATTAACTATAAAGATTTTCTTTTTAAATTATCAAATTTTGTACAATTTCTAGTGATAATTATAAATTTTTGAAAGAAGTTCATTTTCACAACTTTTTCATGCTAAGTATAAAGTATTTATAAGCAGAAAAAATGCGAGTTAGTCTATTACTTTGATACTATCTTGATGAAAATACATTTATCAAATTTCAAGAGTGTAAGGGAAATACACAGTCTAGATCTGGGTGAAACATTAATTTATATCGAGAATTTAAAGCTGAGTAAGAGCCTGACTAGGTGATCAATTATGATGGGATCCTGCTTTATTCTACATTGTTTGTGTAGTTCACTTTAACTACTCCTGTGGTGCAAATGAAACAGATTTTATAACATATGATTGCAATAATGCTAAAGCATAAAAAAATTGCAAATATTACTGTATTTACAACTAAAAAGACTAGAAAATGTTTGAAGAAATCATATCACATAATTATATTAAAAAAGCATTATAAATTTGCTTGTTTTTTCTTCTTCTTTTTTATATAATAGGAAAAAACACCTTTGATAAAGTCATCCAGTTAAATATCTATATCAAACACAAGACACTTTTCGCAATGAGAAAATACATATAACTTCTCCTTATGATTATAGACTTTCAAATTATGTCTATTCTATATTATGTCTATATTATAAAGGAATGGATTTTTCAGTTGGGGAGTAAAAATAGCATTACCTTGATGGAATAGAAGAGGGGAATTTTTGTGTTGCTCATAAAAACGGAAGCTTTCTACAATGCTCATTATAAAGAATGGTGATTGAAGAGGGTATTATGCATGGAATTGCATTAATGGCAAATACAGACAGAAACATGAGCTTTTTATGTCAATGTTAAGTTGGAGATAAGAAATAAGTACTATTTCGTAAAATATAAACTTGTTATTTGAAACCTTAATGCACATCTTAAATTTTTAGAGCTTTTTTTTAACTAACATTAATTCATTTGCAGAAAGTTTCTGCACTAATTACAAGAATAAGATATGATAACTTTATTATACAATTAATATTCACTGAATTTTTTTCCAAAAAAAGAAAAAAAAATGGAAGAAAACTAAATTTTAATTCTTACTTTGATTTTTATTACGTTTAACTCGATGAAAAACAATAACCTTCAATTGCGCACTAAATAGAATTTCCTTGGTTTGTCCTGGTCATAAATAGAAATGGATATCTTTATAAATAAAGAAAAAAAACTTCTTCAGAACTAAAATAATTTCAATGCATTAATATCTGGTTTGCTTGGTTTTTGATTTTTTATATTTAACAACAAAAGATAATTCAAAAACAGAAATAACAATCAGTAATATTTGTTGTCATTTCCTATCTATCTAGATAATAAAAAAAAAATCTACTTAATTTGATACTCAGATTGAATGATAAATTATTTGCTTAATGTACCCTCTTTTAAATTAACAAGATATTTCTTTATTTTATCTCATAGCATATCAATGAGTTAATTTTTTTTAAACCATGACTAAAATCAACTAAAGTTTTCAGTCTACCTTGCTAGATGAGTCATGTAACCAAATGATTCAATCATAAGTCCATCACTAATTTTGTGTCTTGCTACTGATTTATCACAGAAGTAGCAATATAATGATTCTTTTTTCTTTTTCCATTCTTCATCATGGACTATAATAGAATTTTGCCTGAGCGCCTTTATCTGGAATATAAATAATCAAATGTTTACTTTATTAAAAACAAATGCAGTAAAATTCAAAATGTTTTACATTGAATTATCATTTTCATAGCACTTTTAACAGGCAACAAAGTAACAAATACAATGGATGTTTCCTACAACCCAAAACTAGTGGAGCACATTCTGATTTGCTTTAATTTTTGACCTGTAAACATTTATTTAACAACTGACTTATTGAGCAATCCAGATAATATTTTCTGGCAATATATTTACATGACATCATAATTCTTAATGTGGTAAAAATTCTCCTTTTTAAACATCTGAAATAATTCTGTAAGAAAAAACAAAGTTTTCAAATAAAAAAAATGCCATCTTTAAAGCAATCAATGATGTAATCAATGATCTTCCTCTGAATATTTTATGATATTCCAGGGGTCTGTTTAGAAGAAATTTGGGTCCGTTAACGGACCCTTCACAAAATATCTTTTGATAAAAACGAACCCTTCACAAGATATTTTAACTTAAAAACGGACCCTTCACAAAATATTTTAACTTAAAAACGGACCCTTCACAAAATAATTTATCTTTTAATCGGACCCTTCACAAATTTGCTTATCTTCATTATTGTTTTATTAATCGAATAAACCCTTCCCAGGAAGGGGGTGGCAAACGAACTAAATTTTGTCATCCGCAGACGCTTCTTCCTTTATTCGTCCGAAATGAATGTTCTGCGTTCAGCAGTATTAGGCTAAATACCAAATATTTGTATGTTGCATCACTAATTTAGTAGCTGCAATTGCTGCTTATTTTTTAAAATTTGGTTTTTTTTAATTATAATTTTAAAGTGTTGAGCATAATCTTGTATGTCTTCACAATTTAAAAACTCCTTGAAAAAAATTTTTTTTTGCAATAACGGACCCTATTTGCACAAATTCACAAAAGCGGACCCTGGTTGAAAGAATGTGATTTAACGTTTATTTTATATTCACAAATTACGAGTAATTTTTTCACAATTTTACAAAAACGGACCTTTCACAAAATGTCTGGACAGACCCCTGTATTCAGAAGTAAAATTCTAGATACATGTTCTAATGATATTCAAATACTTATTACTTAGTTAAGATAAGTATAGCATCAAGGCTAGACAGGAAAACAATAAATAATATTGAGAACAATGCTTCTATTGAAATTAATATGCTTGAAGCCATAAGACTGATTTCCAGTGCTTAGAATAATAGCATAAGTGATATAACAATAAAAAATTCTTTAAAAAAATGTCGATTTTTTTAAAGAAATCAATAATAGAGAGAGAGTCTGCCTGTGTAAGCGAACAAATTAAAATCAAAATTTGAAAAGAGTTATTGCACTGTGTTGATACTCAAACTTTTCAGAGTATTTCTAAAAACATCCAATGTTTAAAGTCCTATTTCAGAATGCCACATCAATAAACTAATGCAAGTTATACATACAATTAGAATAAGTATTTAATTTTTATTTGTTGAATTAAAGTCTGCATTATAAACTAACTAGGGAACAAGATAATAGAAATCAAAGCACCAGCAGAAATGGGATATTTCCGTATCGGTACCAGTTAACACCAATTACAATCTCCAAAGCACCAAAGAGATTTTAAACATGCAAAATTTAACAAAAAATAATAAATGTGCAGAAATTTGCCTAGATATGACTAGGAGTTAAACCCTTTGAGTTAGTAAACCCTTTGAGTTAGTCTCCTTCTGTGATGTTTATTCTTTTCTGCCAGTGCTCAGAAGTCACCTAATTTTGGAGTTTATTTTGTTACCTCAAGTATCAATGCAAAAATGAAATCTTCCCAACGGAAATAATAAATCAGGCTACATTCTGGGCGAGGCGTCCCATTTGCTCTTTGTATAAAGAAATCCGCCCCATATGCCATACAAATCTGAATACTAAAGGGGGGAAACGGCCTATCCGCGCCAATTTTTGGGAAAATCCATCAGGTTTTCTGATTGTTTTTTTTTTTTGCAGTAATAAATTTTTCTGCCATAAGTAATCGAGGATTTCTTTCCAACTACTTCATGTTCTAATGAGTAGTTGGAATGAAAACCTTCCCCATGGTTTTTCAAATTCCGATATATTTATATGCATTCCATGCGTATTTTAAAATTGAGCAATCACTTCTTTGAACCACTCGATTCCTAACGATTCCATCCTAATTTCATGTCGTTTTACGAAATTTTTTTCGATAGTTGTCATTTTTTGGCTTTGTTCACCTGAATTCTAAAATTCGTTATTTTTAATAAGATGTTGTTACGACATGAAAATTTCTAATTTGCATTATCACTATTTGATATGTTCGACTCACGACGATTCTATGGCAGTTTTATGGCGTTTGATGATGGTTTTTACGTAAGTTATTAATAATTTTTTCAGAGCCTTTTCATGGTTTTTCAAATACTGATATGTTTAATACAATGTTCGAAATTCGAATTATCACTATTTATAATTATCCGTCGTCGGATAATACTGGATTGTTTGGAAAGTTCGTGTCGATTCTATAATACTAGATAATGTATCTGGTCAGTTTGAAGTGAAAATTTGCTTTAGTTATTTATAGAAGTAGTGTTAAAAATGGTGACATGGTTGCTAAATTTAGAAAGAACTCGCTTTTTGGGCAGTCCTGATTTGGCATCTTTATACTTGCTTATTACTGTTCTTGCTGCGAACAGTGCACTATCATACATTAGTGTTGGCATATTATTCCAGCAGCGAGATTAAGTTCATTTCACAAATATCATTTAGGTTTAAATTCCGAAGTTGCTATATTGTTGACAAAGTAAGAAGTGTTTTCTGGCGACATTGAAAAGACAGGTATTCAAACAAATATTTCTTTTTTAAACACAAATAATTAATCAGGTAACAAATACACATATGCAACAAATACTACTCAAGAGAGTCTCAAAACACAATAATCATGTTGTGAGCCAAATTGCTTCAAAATGCATCGGAAAGAGTAACCAGGAAGTAAAGAGCTTGCAGTACACCCTAGTGTAGAAAACACCATCTATTCTGATAATTTTTATACGATGCTACTATGACAAGCGAGTTTTTCAGTTAAAAGAGTCACTTTTTGACATTCTCAATTTAGATTTCATCATTTATGGATCATTTTTTCAGAAATTATTACGTTTACTTATTGTGTTTTTCATTCATTTTGAAATTGTTCTTAAAATCTTGATATATTTAACAAGTTATTATTATCACACTCAGCATTTTCAAAATTCGAGAATTACACTCATTTTAAAACTAATTTATAGAATGAGTAAATTTAGAGGAAATATTTTTAATTAAAATTTCATCTTTAAAAAAGATAAGATTTTTTTAAATGATAAAATTAAAAACTTATTTATATTGGGTGTCTTAAAAGTTAAGCAAATATTTGAGAACAATGCCCTTTTTGTGTGATAGGTGCACTTTTTTAGGGCCAAATAGTGCCCTTTTCAGCTTCCAGCGCCCTGCCCTTGTTTAAGGTCTAGTATGAACACTGAATAAATTGCAAGAAAAAACTATAAACATGCAAAACAAATCCATATCTAAAATAACCACATGAAACAAAAAAAATTAATTATAAGTTCATAAACCTGCATATCTTGAGATGCAAGGGATTTAAATCAGAGATACCCACGATGAAGCTGCCACAGACATTATGGAGGCATGCTTTTTTTTAACACATATTTATTTCCCGCAGTTATTTAATTGCAAAAAAGACTTTAGGAATATTTATGATTATTTTAAAGGATGTTTTTGGAAGTTTTGAAGGGGAATTTTTAACAGATTTTTGATGGGGGGATATTTTTTTGGTTAAATTTATTACATCCTTTATGCACTATTTTACACTCCCATAAAATAACAAATAAGAAATTTATAACAAGTGGTAAGTAGGTTATTTTTTTAAATACTCTCGGGTCCGAGAAAATTTTTTGAAAAATGTTAAACTTCAAAGGTTATTTCTTTAGCCAAATTTGCATAAAAATAACAAATATGAGATGCATATTTATTTGCAGCTGTTTGGACGGACTAGAATAGGAATTTAAAGAAAAAAATTTGGAGGGATGGGAATATTTTGCAAAATCTTTTTTACTGATTTATTTATTTACTCAGACATTTTATTACATCTGAAAATGATAATGAAAAGAAGAAAGAGATATATTTAAAAATGAAAGGGATGCAGTTTATGTATCTTACAGATTAAACTTTTCAATTTTGGTGGGTTTACAAAAAATTGAAAGGGTGAGAATTTGTGTAGAGAGGATAAACCTTCCAGTATTTCCACTGCTACTATTATACCATTACTGCACAGAAGATAACAATGCAATTTTTAGAGTGGCTACTTCTAATTTGTGAGACAAATTGTATTGTAATCTTAGTCACTTTTCTATTCCCTTCTGTAGTTTCTCTCAAGGTTTTTTTGGGGGGGTCCCGATTCCATTTTATTAAAACTTATATTATAAACTATATATATATATATATATCGGCTTTATCATCTGACAGGCACTTGTTAGACGATAATAAAAACGAGACTAAAGGTATAGCATTCAAAATGAGAATACCCCCTTTCAAATCACCTGATTTCTTATAGACCGAAATCTTTCGGTCATTTTCTTCTGGTGTTCCTTGGATTTCCGGTGAGTGACCTTAAGAATGTTACTAAAGTTTCGACAAATATTGCAATTAACATAACTGTTCTGGATCTGATCAAAATCAGTGTTATGATCGCTTTCAGGATAACTAGAAATAATCTTTGGCAAATTTTCCATTGGAATTTTTCAAAGCATTTCCAAGTACTGCAAACCACATATAACTTTCACAAAGCATAAACAAAATCTCAATGTTTATATTTACCCTCCTTCTTGCTGTTGCCAAAATATTTTTAGTAACTTGTAAGTTTTGTTTGTCAACTCACCTTTTAAACTCGTTCAGAGCCTCAGTGTGAACAGAAATAAGCAGTTTAAACAGTACCAAGTGAAAAACAAAAGTGGTAGGTTACTAAATTCAAAATTAAATTTGTATTTCTTGTGATTAATTATATCATCAGGGACCGATCAAGACTGCTCACCAAATTTTCTGGGTCCCTTACGAAATATTTTGAAATTAATTTACTGAAGAGTAGTCCTAATAGTGAAGAAGAATCTATTGAACTTCATGATTCAAGAGAAACATTCTAAGAAATTTTGAAAGCCGACAATTGAAGATTATTTTTCAAAGATAAAGTTTACGTATCTATAAATTAAAGCAAAATATAAAACAACAAAACAATGTTATGTCAAAATAAAAATAGTTTGGTGACCACAAACAATTGAAATCAGTGACTTTTGCTAAAAGTCACTGATTAGCTGAATTATTTTCTATTGTGAGCTGTAATTATTTTTAATTTCGTACTTAAAGCAACACACAGCTAGCCCACCTTTCATTAGACTTTTTACTAATTTTTGAGGCCTCTCAAAATTGTGAGGCCCATGCCTAGGCTATAATGAGGCCTGTATATCATTATTATAATAACCATTTTGGAGAATGTCCCACTTTCTCTACAAAAATACGTTTTATATTCAAAGTATAAAATTGTAGTTCTGAAAGTAAAATGAAAAAGTTCTGTAAATATCGCAATAAAATATACATTTTTTAACCTGGAAACAAGGTGTAGTTTCTAAATTTTTAAATCACAGATGCTAAGCAATTGTAAGAATAATTTTAGTTTAAAAATATGAATAAAATGAAGATTTTTTTTATTTTACGTATGATGTTTATGCATAGGCAAATTCATTTTCTTTAAACCTGGGAATGTGTTTACAAAAAGTCAATAAACATGTTTTTCCTCTAACATGCTCTTCCACTTCAAATGAGTTAAAATAAATCAACCCTTTGAGACACAAGAAATTTAAAATAATAATTTTAGCTAAGAAAAATTAATACTTCCGTAAGGAAAATATATTATTCAGTTCAAATATATTATTCAGTTCCATTTTGTCTGAAATTAAACATATTTCAATTAATATTTTTTATTGTTTGTAGAAAATATGGGAACATTGTTTTTTATGGAATTAAAATGTAAAATGCAATGTCATATCAAAGCACCAGGGAAACGAAGGTCTAACAGAATTGTACCAAGTTTTAAATGGAAATCAAGAGCAAAAGGTCTAACTTTTTGGAGAAGACCTTCATATCTGGCATCCCTTTTCATATTCTCTTCAGACTCTGAGCACTTGACAAAGCAATGGAGAGCAAAATTTGTGTTTTCATCAACTCCGACGTTGTGCATGAAATTTTTCAGTGCTGAGAGCTTGTGTTTGACTTTCAATCCAAATAGCCCAGTAAAATTTCAGTGAGCTTTTTATTCAGGTAAAAGTTTTATTCCTGATCTCTTAATCATTTATAGTTATATGCATATATATATATATTTCTCTTACATGACAACAAGGAAAAATCTCATTTCTTTTTTCCTTCGGCAACAAAGAACTGAAATATCAAACCTGTAAGCTATCATTAGCATGAAAGGATAAATATTCATGCTTACAAAATTTTGAATGAAAATACTTTTTTTCACATAAATAACTGATAGCTGTAGCAAACAGAGCTATAAATTGCGAAGAATTGAAAGGTTAAAAGTGAATATTTCATATCAATAAGCAAACAGGGCCCGACTTAGCCTAATTGGGGCCCGGGATAAAAAACGTTTTGCCCCCCCCCCCTTGTTCACTATTTCAGTAACGAAGTATTTAACTTTATGGAGGTATTTAATTTTTTCACCTCATTATACATATATAACAAGAAAATTGACTAGATCCTAAAGTAGCTGTAAAATCCCCTCAAATAGTCAGACAGAATGTTGTTCTGTCCATTTTATTCATTTTCTGACAATTCCATGTCCATCATACCGAATACAGTTTTCTGATTGTTAACTTTGTAATCTAGGTGCGAAAAATTTATATCTTGCTGACATTAGGGTGGAATTAAGCTAAATTTTCTCAACTACGATGACTCACCTAAGCCAATCCGAAGCCTGTATTTTTGTAAACACATTGCATTTTGCGATATATAAAAATACAGATTTTTGATTGGCCAAATATGTCCATCATAATTGCGAAAATTTAGCTGAATTCTGTATCAGAAAATCATGGATTTGCAAAATATAGATTCTGTTCTTACGATAGATTAATTAAGAAGCTAACATAAAACTGACATATTTTACACTGTACTTATATTTTGTTTAAAAAATCTTCATTAGAGAAGGAAACCTAAATTATACTTAGTATTTGATTTGGGGGCTCCCTCTGATGTGGGGCCCGGGGCAACTGCCCTGCATGCCCCTGCCTTTGTCAGGCTCTGTAAACAAAGTGTTCTTTATGTTTTAATTATACTTATGCAAGTTCAAAAATAATAATTATAGCTTTACAGTGATAGATCTAAGTTCTGAAATCAATAATTGTGTTTTTTAACAAATCTTATAAATCTTTAATAGTAATTGGTTTTTTAAAAACATAATTATTTTTTTGTTTCTGCAAGTTTTTCTATTACATGTCATTAATTTAATTAAAACTTTTTATTTCAATAACTTATTATTGATTAAAAAATTTAATTTCTTAAACAGGAATTAATTTTAAAGATTTTAATAAATTACTTAACTTTTTTAAATTTTTCACTAGTACACATTTCAAATGATTTTAATCTGCAGTCTTATATTAGACAGCATAGCAATCTTCAAGGGTTAGCGAGCGTCAGGGAATAGGGGGCAGCAGAGCCCACTAATTCATACAATCTATCTAAAATTCACAAATATCAATGAGTAGTTAAAACTGAACTGAAATTGCAAATTTCTATAATATGTAATTTTTGATTTTTAAGTAACCAATTTTTTTTATACCCACAATTTTTTTAATTTTTAATTGACAAAAAATAAACATCACAAAATAAACATATTAGCATTGTCAAAATTATAACTTGAGGTGATTGTGCATATATTTTAAATTATTAATACAAGTAAAAAAGAAACACAAAGCCAAGTAAAAATTTTAAAACTTAATAAATAAAAATGCAGTTAAAATTTGACCAAAAAAATATTCTTAGATTTTTGCAGTTTTTCTTTATAAAGTTAATATCTTGATTTTCTAAATCAAACTCTAGTTTGAACACAAAACAAAATGTATTCATAAATATCTTAACACTAGTAAGAAGATTATTTTAACTTTATCTCAATATCATTACTAACAGTCATAAATGTGCTCTTAAGTTTTTAAATTTTGTATTTTTTTTTTCACTAATAAAGTTCTTTTGGCCAAATAATAACGTTCTTTATTTATTGTTTAAAATCAGACCAAAAAGAAACTAAATATATAATAATGTAACCAAATGAATCAAGCACATCAAAAGTTTTTCATGTAGCTAGATAATTGGGTAATAACTGTTCTTAGATAATTATTGTCTCCTTTAAGTGCATTTCAGGTAGGGACACTAATTACAAAACGATAGTTTTTTGATAATAGAGGAAAAACTATTGCATTTCTTTAATTAAACTACTCATATTTTATAAAATTAAGTTATTATATTTTTTACAAATCAAAGTTTTTACTTGCTTTCAATTTCTTAGAAGAAAATGAGGGGGGCAGTAATTGAATTCCTTAAAGTAACACACAAATTTTTTAAGATGAAATTAAGCATATTGATCCTAAAAAATAATGGTACATTAAATTGAACTTCTTTGTAAAAAGGAGTGTTTTTTGCAAACTGGAAGTTATATTTTATCCAACTAAAGTCATCTATAATGTTTTATTGGGTCTTTTTACACTTGGAACTGTAATTACGCAAAAGTTGGAGTTACATACAAAATGATGTGTAGAATAAAATTTACAAAATATTTAAGTTGCATTTATCTCTGTAATGCTCTCAGAATATTATAAATTACTTTAAAACTTCACAAATCTATGTTGAGTACTTGTGACAGTAATGATATTTTACCTGTATTTTATTTTTTTTTAAAAATGTGTCTGATGCATATTTGTTTTACTCCCTTCTGAATATATTAATGAAAACGTATCATTTAATAATGAAAATAAGCATTTAAATGAGAAATACTGCTTAAGGAGGCAAAATTTAGCGAACTGAGAAAATTACCTATAATTATAGAACTGAAACATGTGTACGTCTGTTTATATGATATTATGTGTGCTTTTTCCACTTTGTTTGGCTTATTTACTAAATTATTTATTATTTATTGTCGCAACAGGCTGAAGCAATGAGAAATAACAAGAAAGAAGTACATGTAAACATTAAAGTTACTTTATTCAAATTAGCTAAAATGTCACCTAGAAACTATCCAGTCAGCTTTTCTTTTGGGTGACAGGATTAATTAAATCAAGAGCTAACAGTTTACTAATGCAAAAGTTAAAAAGATCATAAAACAAAGGAAAAAAAGATATTCAGCATATTATTCTCTGCCCACTGAGTTAGGTTCCTCAACCTGTATTATTTTTTGACCTTGAAAAAGGAGCCTGCTGACAGAGAAAGTACATGAGACAATTAATTTTAAACTTACTAAGTCTTGGGACTTTTAATAACTTGCTGATAATTATATATTTTTTTAATTTTGATCTTATTAAAAGTGTTTCTATTAGTTTTAAAGAAGCATAATGTTAGAAAAAAAAGAAGTCTTTAAATAAGATTTTATACCTTATTTGCAGGAACGGAGCATTCCTGTATCACACCTTCATAAGAAAAGACCACTAAGAATGAGTGTCCCTCGAGAGTTCAGCAACACATCTCTTGAAAATGAAGAAACAGTAAGCTGTGTCCCCTATAGAGCGAAAAATTTTGTCCTATGTAGAACACAGGGGGCAATCAAGAAAAGTAACAACACCAATCAGTGTAAGTGTTGCTGTAAAAAGTCATTTTTATATTACTATTGCTGGGATTTAGATTTTTTTTTTTTTGCAACTTTCAGGGATGAGATTTTTCCGCTTTTTAGCGGATTTCCGCTTTTTTCACTTTTATCTCTTGAATTTCAGCTTTTTTATCAAAAATTCAGATTTTTCTAAAAATTTCACTTTTTTTAATAAGTATTCCGCTTTTTCAGAAAATTTACTAATTTATAAAGAGAAACAGAAAATTCAATCTACATAGCTACCAATCCTTTCTCATTTTTACTTATTTTAGCTATTTTCTCCCCTTTTACTCGCAGCAGATAAGATTATCCGAATTTTTTACCCGCCCTCCAGATAGATCTGATTTTTGTAGTTCAAACGATGCTGCTTCTGACAAGCCTTTTAGAGGTCCCAAGCCTGGAATCTGCTAATATCTCGATTCTTATTCACACGATTTTAATATCAAACATAGCTTTTCATATTTGCGTGTTGCGATTCTTATTCACGCGATTTGAATATTGTACGTTGCGATTCTTATTTACGAGATTTAAAAATCCGATATTGTGATTCGTATTTACGCCTTTTTAAAAACCTATGTAGCGATTCGTATTCACGCAAGTTTAAAATTCAATGTCTTGATTTGCTCATGCGGTTTATAATATCAAACATTGATTTTCGTATTTATACGTGATTTTAAAATAAGGCATTGGGATTCGCATTCACGCATTCTAAAAATTATGCATCATAATTCTTATTTATGCAATCTAAAAATTACGCATCATGATTCGTATTTACGCAATCTAAAAATTATGAATCGTGATTTGTATTTACGCGTTTTAAAAATTCTATATCCCAGTTTGTATTTTCTCATTTTCAAAATCGTATATCTACATAGTTTCATATTCATGTGATTTCAAAATCCATTCTTGTAAGAAGTAAATTATTTTTTTTTTAATTAGTTACTATAAAGGTGACTGTTTTTCCAACAACGATTATTAGTATATGAAAGTGTTACAACATCAGAGAAACTGGAAGGGAATATATTCAAAACTTACATTGTGTGCTTGCAAAGAAGAAAAAATAGGATTTGTCACAAGATGTTTGAAGATGGACTAACGACTAAATATAACAAGCATAAAAGATGTAGCAAACAAAAGCAATCACTTAAAAAGGGTATTCAATTGGTAATTTTTATTTTCACTAAATGTTAAGTATCAATGTAATCATTTATATAATAATAGATTAGTACACAATTGTATGTCAACACATTATTTATTACCTTAAACTGTCTGGAATTTATTATTAAAGGGTTGTGCTTGCGTAAAATTTACTATCGTGGAAATTCAGCTTTTTTGCCTTTTGGCTAATCTCATCCCTGAACTTTGAAAACATATTTTTAATACCATGATGTTAATAGTATAGGTAATTTCATAAAATATAATCTTACATTTTTTATTTGTCTTAGCTAATTAAAAAAAAAACTATAGGTCTAAACCCTGATAAAATTGAAATTCATAGTCTTCTGTAAAATTGTTCATTCTCTTAAAATGTTAAACAATTGCACCATTTTGTACTCAATTTTTAAATTGTATATAACATTTTATATGTTTACTTTATTTAAAAAATCTAATTAATGTTTAGTTATGAAAGTAATAATGGAAGTCTGGGGTAACAGTTTAGTTATATACAGATCTTTGTCACTTCCAAATGCTGATATATCATTTATTTATATAAATTCATATTAATAAAATGTCATAATTTTGAAGTTGCAATATTTGGAACTTTGTGACTGCCCTCTGATTATAACACTGTGTTAATGTACCTAGCAAAGAGAAAAAAATAATATTTATCATGAATAAATGTGGAAATCTAAATTTAAGTATGTGTGAATGCAAAACCTGTAAATGAGAGGGGGTGATACTCCTTTAAGCCAAAAAGATTTCATAATTTGCAAAAATATGACAATTGTTCTTCAAACTTATTTTAATAGTTAAAAAAAAAAAAAATCAAGATATTAAAATGTAAGTTTTTCTTCTTCTAAATTTTGAGGTTTGTTTTTTATTTTGTTTTTCTTTTTTTATTAAAGAGGCGCATTTATAACAGATGTATGAAACTTATGGAAGAAGAAATGGTACTGGAAATACTAAAATTTGCTGCTATAAAAATCATTACTGACTCATTAACAGTTTGTTGCAAATGGAGATTACATTTTTAGAATGCATATTATTCTTATTTTTATATCTTTTGTTATTACAGTCTAAGGGGGAACTTTTATCTAGCTATGTTTATATAGGTAAATTTAGGTTGTTTTTTTTTTAAATTTATTTATTTATTCTTAATTTTTTTTTTTTTTTTTTTTTTTTTTTTTTTNTCTTTTTTACTTTTTTTTTTTTTTTAAGAAACTTCACAAAAAAACTTTTTACCCTCCAATTCTTTTAACACAAGATTCTTTAAAAAAAAATTTTTACATTTTTAATTTGGAATTTGAGAATTTTTTTATCAAGAAAAACTGATTTAATATATGTAAAAATCACTCTTGTCTTGCCACTAAATTCCCAAACAGAAATAAGGAATGACAAAATTTAAAAAAAAAAGAAAAATTAAATAGCAAGTTTTCACTAAATGAAGAGTAGCTTAAACCAAGATTGGGGATTCTTTCTAAAGAAACCTATTTCTTCTAAAAAAATAGTTCTTTGTAAAAAATTTTCTTAATTGGTTTTAAATTTTTGTTGCATTTTCAATACCAATTTTTTTTAGTAATTTTATAAATTATAATTAACTTCTAATTTTATAGCTATGTATGATAGAAAAAAAAACTGTATTAAAGATATCTATTCTGAAAAACTTTCAGAACATTTTAACTATTTTACCTACAGTATATATATAAGCAGTATATATATAATAAAAGAAAAACTTTTAAAGGGAAAAAGTAAAGGTCTTCATCAGGACACATCCTTTACTATAAATAAATGCGATATTTCTGAAAAAAGAGTAATTATCCTAAGATAAATATATATACATATTAAATAAATTATTTTATTCAATATCTTTATCGAGGAATTGTTTTGAGTATTCACCACTGCATTTGGTTAAAAAAAAATTAGTATGCTATTTGTAATTGTGAATACAATATGGGATGTGCAAGTAGAATTTTTGCCAATGATAATTTAGTGACTCAAAAAGACAGCCAAAGTTTTCATTTAATGATCCAAAAAGGTTACACAGTTGACAAATTTGGAAAAGTAAATTCAAAAAGAACCCAAGTTACATAAATCAATTATCACAGCGAAACATTTTTAATGTCTAAATGCTTTAGGTTTTCAATTTTGAAATATTTTTAATTGCGCAATTAAGTTGTCATTTTTTGACATTCTTGTCTTGTGACGATTCTTTTATAAACACATGGGATTTTTCAATCATTTTTCAGCAGTTATTGTTACGGAATTCTACATGGCTTTTTAAATCCTACTGTTTTTAATAGAATGGTATTCTAACACTCTTAATTTGTGATAATTATTGCTTTATAACTATATTATACTATATAGATAACTATAACTTTTGAAAAGAGTTATTTCTGTATTAGTATTTGTTCGAGTCTACTATCCTCGCCAAGGCAGCAAAAGAATTTTAAATTTGCAAAACTTTATTTTAAAAATACAGTGTAACGTCCCATATCCGGACGTCCCTTTCCCAGAAGGGTCGATTTCCCGGACACTTTTTAACAATCAAAATAAACAAACATCTCTCCATCTTCCCCTTTTCTAAAAAAAAAAAGAACAAAAAAAAGTCTTTTGACACATTTTCTCTTTTTCTAGCTTGCATTGCACTGAGCCTCTGATTTATGCATCCGACCCATAAATCACCAGAAAGGGGAAGTGAAGATCTACCAAGACCATTGAGTGACCGTTAGTGACGCTCCTTCCTTGGAATGTAAGAAAAGGAGGGAGTTTTGTTTTCAAAAGACTGCAACTGAGTCCCCTCTCCCCCTCCTTTCCCATGCAGGTTACTAGTAAAAGAGGCATTTCCTGGAACCTTTTTATTGAAAGAAGAAATACTGTGGAAAAGGGTAAACGGGGCAAGCGTTAAGGTGGAGGGGGAGTCAAAATGGAAAATTTGAGTAGGTCTAAAAGGATACACGTCCTTGAGAAACAAAACATTCGTTCTTCCCCGTACCATGTAATATTTAGGAGGCGGGGGAAAAAGGGGGTAACATTCTTTCTTCAGCAGATTCGTTCAGTCATAGAAGAAAAAATAAAGAGAACCCGATCAGCGTGCCCGCCTTTATGCTTGATGGATAGCCAATGATTGGAGCGAAAACAATAATTTGTTACTTCCCCACCCTCAACTTAAATGATCTTCTCTTTACACTTATTTTCTTTCACAAATACGAAGGAAATGAATTTTTCTCCTCCACCTACCCACCTTAATGAATGACGGGAATTTCCCTTTCTTACTTGAATCATTCTAGTTAAAAATGGCAGATTATTATTTTCATAAGTCAATTTTTTTTCGCTTTCTATATTTTAAGCAATAATATTTTTTTTCTAATTTTTCATATTTTATTGATTAGATATTCTAATTCTAAAACATTATTCCCCTTAAAAATAATGTTTATTTATTTTTTGCTTCTTAGATTTAGATCATTTTAAGCTTTGTTCCAGAATGACGTGAATTTCCCCTTCCTGCTTGAATCGTTCTAGTTCAAAATGGCGGATTAATATTTTCATAACTGTCAAATTTTTTTCGTTTTCTATATTTTCAGCAATAATATTATTTTCTAATATTTTATATTTGATTGATTAGATATTCTAATGCTAAAACATTATTCCCCTTAAAAATAATGTTTATTTAT